TATACTATATATATATATTATTATATATATATATATATATATATATATATATATATATAATATATATATATATAATATATATATATATATATATATATATATAATATATATATATAATAATATATATATATATATACATATATATATAATTATATATATATATATATATTATGTAGTATATATACATATATATGTTGTATATATATGTGTATATATATGTATATAATATATTCACATATGTATGTATATATGGATTTATATAAATATATATATATATATATATATATATATATATATATATATATATATATATATATATGTAGGTATATACATGTTTAATATATGTGTATATATATGTGTATATATATGTATATATAATATATTCACATATGTATGTATATATGGATTTATATATATATATATATATATATATATATATTATATATATTATATAATATATATATAGTTCATCAATCATCTTTACACTGAGATGGCTCTACAAGTACTTAGTCACCAATGATTCAATCACAAGTATTATCTCTCTCAAAAGCTTACAATTAATTTTTTTAAAATATTTTCTTGCATCTTATATTGCTAATACTAAAGTTAATAAAATTATAATAATCATAATGTCTGTAATAAAAACAATACCAGCACTGTTATTAACAGCATTAATAAGAAAATAAAAATAAAAAATAATTAAATAAATGAATAAAAAATAAAACATAATGAAAACATTCAAAAAATATAAAAAATACAGAAAGGTGATATCAGGTGATTTTACAAGGTCTAATAATTGACTCCTGGGTGGCTGTGTACTTGCAATGCCAACTATTTGCAGAAACATTTCACAAAGAAATGCACTACATTTTTCTGGTGGCCTTGGGTTCAAATCATATGATATTCATCGACTACTCATCCCCTTTTTGTTTTATTTGACCTTGATTAGAGAGCTATCTTTAAAGTAAGTATGACAGATATTGAATACAAAGTTGCTTTACTTTCTGTTACCACATTAACCCCTACGATCTGGAAGACATTACAGTCCTGTCATGGAAAAATCTGGGTCGAGGGCCGGGTGATGTGAACATGCCTTCAACGGGTAAAATGACCTTGGGCCAGGTGACACAAACTTGCTATCATGAGCGAAGGCTAGGGTGACGGAAAAGACTCGCCACAAGTGCACAAAACTCCTGGAGTGTGATTTGACTCATTTAGCTCTTAGAAGGGGGCTTTAGCATTATTGCCATCGCTAAACAAATGTGGAATATAACGTGCATAAGCCGTGACTTGAAGAGCACTGGCTCCAGGGAGAATTCCATTTCATGTTGTGCATCATATTCCTGGCCACTGAGACTGGCAGCGCAGGCTGTATTACGGAAAACTGAAAATTACAGAAATATAAGATATATGATACAAATAACCAAATATTCCGTATTACTTTTTTACTACATAGAGAGATGATATGGAGTCTGTGCAATGCAAATCAAAAGACCAATATGAACATTGGCTCATAGGTATATGCACATGCCTGGCCTACGCTCTGCACACCCGGGATATTGGCTACTTATGTAACCCAATGCCTGTATTTTCGGCACTGTGATTACTGTGACAAAACCGGATCCAACAGGTTAAACAATTTCTTAAGAAAGAGCCAGATTTTAGAAAATTTGTACCTATGAAGTATAAAAAATATAAATACATAGATTATCAAAGTGCTAGTAGCCCAGAAAATTGGCAAATAGTGTTACCAAGCAGCACTACTCGATACTGCTATCTTTCAACTGTTTTCTTCCGTTCAAGCTAAACACCTTCACTACCGTAACGTAGCTCAACTGATATAAAACATGTAGTTATCCCATACTTCCTTATATTTGTAATGTCACAAATGAAAATTACTTAAAGAAATTTCTTCCTTACATAAACATGCAATGTCTGAAAAATGATAATGTAATGGCTGCCAGGTTACATGGAAAATAAACAAAAGTACAGATAATTATGCAAATCTCACTGTACCCTACTACATACCTTGTATCCTGAGGTTTTTAGCTTTGGATTTGATGAGCAAGGCTTTCTTGACTAAAAGCCTTTTGGAGAGCTTTCTTGAGTCTGCAGGAGCCTGAGGTGGCTGAGGAGTGCTCCTGGTAACCTGACAGGAAGTACTGCCTGACCCTTAGCCTCCGTAGTTTGTCCAAGTTCTTCTTGACAGCTCCTGTTGGTGTAGCAAATGTTTATCAAATATGAACATCACTTTACTTTGAATGTATGATGGTTAAAAGAATGGAAAGTAGATAGGGTCATATGGAGAAAAATAAGTAGAAGAAAAAAATCCTAGTCAGTAATTCGCTCCTACTGGGTGGCTTCTAATTTCACCTTGGCACAGTGAGATCATATCTTGTGAAGTATCCATGTAATGCAAGGTCAAATCATGCTTCTAATTTTTCACTTAAGTTGCTGAAGCATATTACAGTTTCACAAGGATAAAAGCTGTTATCATGAGTTTATTAAAATTAACAACTGCCATTCACCAACAATCTTCTTATACCTTGGACAATTCTTTCTCCTTCTTGTCCAGTAAGGGAGCATCTTGCTTCTTCTTTGTTGGTTTGCTTTTATCATCTCTAGCAGGACTTTGGCTTCGGCTATCAGCATTAATTTCCAAAATCTGAGGGGTGTTGAAGTGCTCCAGGCCTGGAGGTAACAGTGCTGTCCCTGGAGAAAATTGGAAAAGCTAAAAATTTGTTTTATAACAACAGGGTTCTCTGAGCCATAAATCACATAGGGTGACACAATTTTTTCTTTATTCAGGATTGAGAAACAAGATAATATTTAAGGGGACCGTCTGTTTTTTTTCTTGCTGATTTTGATGAAACTCACACCCTTGATAAAACGGCAAAAAGTTTTTAAAATCCTGAAAAAATTACACATGCATTCTGATTTGATTTTTGAACAGATTCATCCTAGATCTAGTGTTTGTTAAAAGCAATTTTTTTTTATTTTGACTTTTTTTGGGAGAATTTTTGAAGTGACCGACTATCAGGATTTTTTTTTGTATGTTTTTAAACACATTTCTCGTTTTTACGAGAAACACAGACAATAACTGCAAAATCCATCTTGAACAAGCACTAGATGAGTTATTCAGCTACAAAATGAGCCATAAAACTTTTATTTTGGACTAAAATTATGTCTGAAAATGCTTTTGCACCGACAAAGGTGGTATACCGAGATATCGGCATTTTTCGTTTTCTTCATCTTTCCATGACTATCTTGGAATCAACAAAATAAGGTATAAGAAAAGTCTCTCTATATCAAATTCCTCTATCATCTACCTGCCTTCCGAAGTGTTCCGGACACTGCCAACACATCAACCTTACTTTTTGGTGAATATTTTCTGAAGCCCACTATCTCGACACCCTAAAAAGGGATACTGAAAATATATTTCACTTTTATAAGAAGCACATGAAAATATTTCAAATCCTTATAGCAGAATATAATAGATCTATTATTCAACTACAAAATGAGCCATAATACGTTAAAATCGGACTGAAAATACATGTACTATGCATAAAAATGTGAAAGACCTAATAATCACGATCTTTTTCCTTTTCACGATGTTTACATTTTACATGACAAATCATGTATGATATACTTATATTTGATATAATTGTCTATCATTTACCTACTATTGTTGCTCTAATAGGGTTTTACAATGTATAATATTAATCAAAAGAAAAACCATTCTCCAGTCGGACGGGTACCACACGCATCCTTTTCCCAGCATGACCAGGGCATCGTGGACCATGAAATAAGTCACTTTACATCAGCAGAATGTTGTTGTTTAACTCTATGGGGCCACATGGAACAATTTTCCCACTCAGACCCCGTCGAACGACGAAACACAATTATATGGTAAAGTGAAAGTATACATATATGGTATATAAGAATACAGATCATTTTCGAGTACCTATACTTTTGTTTACTTATATTACTTCCATTTGTTTGTTTGTTTGTTTGTAAATTGTTTTTGTTATTTGTTTGTTTGCATTTTCTGATATATCTAAAACTTTGGGGGGGGGGGGGGGCATTTTCAAAATGTTTAGCTCATAGATCAAACTATGTATGATAAAAAACACAAGAAAATAATATACTCAATATGAACGGCATATCATGTTTATTTGTATGAAATATTTCATTATCGTTTTTTGGACACTTGTCAGAGTTTTTTAAATTATTCTGAAAAAATGAAGGTTGGTCTCATCTTATGTGAAATTTAATAAGCTTTCAGAAAATAATCCCATTTCTTAATTATCTCTAATCATCTCATCACAATTGCCAATTTTCTAAGTAACGTAAAAAAATATTTCAGTCGACATCGAAAATGGCTGCTACCACTAAAAATAACGGTCGGGCTTGAAATTTTTCAGGGGAGAACCAGGGCCTAGGAATCCTTGAAAATGCATTTTACTCAATTTTGTAAGAAGGACGAAAATCGCAGAAAAAGACCAGACGGGTTCCTTTAACCCATTCGTTCCAGGTGTCACATATATGAGACAACGGAAAAAATAAACACTGCCGGGCGTCCCGCCAGTATGATGCTGTATCGGGGCTGCACTCCGACACAACAGCAGCACGCGGCGGCGGGAGGACAGACTCCGGGGAAGTTCCGCCCGCCGATTTTTGTAGTCGCCCGGATTTTTTTATTTTGGCTACAAAATGTTCCCGGCGTGAGTGGGTTAAGGGGACCGTCCCAGATGGAGGGGGGAAGGGGGTCAAATTGAGTTAGCTAGCGTATAGTATAGGTACATGGATGAGGAAACTCCCAAACGAGTATTAAGCGCCTGCTATGGCTCGTTGTCTTGCGCAACACGAGAGTCTCAGCACCGCGGAGAGGTACGTGCTAATTGTGCACCCAGGTACACCTATGTGGACTTCTTGCTTGCTGGCAATCGTGCATATGGCATTTATTATGGATTGCACATAGATATGAGTTCATGAATGTTCAAGGAACACATTTATACCAATATCAGGAAAAAATTATATCACCGTGATTTATGACGAAATATTTTGGGAAAAAAAAAAAAATAATAAATAATAAGTTTTGTGTCCTTTTACACACGAAATATGCTTCGATCGAGACTCCCTGGCAATATGTTTTAGTTTACGAGGTAATATGTATGTACATCACATACGAAGCACTAATGTTTAAAAATAGCCTTATAAGGAAGGATTGAAATATTTCCGTTACATTTCGCTCAACGGTCGGTACATCACAGCAGGGGGCAATTTGAATTGATTTGAAATTGGTAGTTACCGTTGTAAAGACCAATTCAATACGAATGTTACCTAAATGTCGGATTTTTAAACTTCGGATGTATAAGCGAGATACAGATTATTTCATGTTGAAGATGATAGTACTCAGTAATACCTGCTCTGAAATAAAAACTATATGGAATTTTGAGCTCGGTTGTATGCGTAGTCTTCGTCTGGCGTTCAAAAAGCTATCGCATCCGTTTCGTGCGTTCCCGATAAAAAAAATGTTTAGACGTTACCGTAAGTCTTCTTAGGCACCATAAATTGGCAAATATCCACAACACATAGGCGTCTGCATGATTTTATGCACTTCTTAGTAAAGATAATGGGTGCAAATGGCTAATCATAAACTTTACACTTGTTCTCCCTTGCAATCTGTTAATATTGACAATTATCAAAGAAAATGGTATGAGAGGGATAACTAATAATTTTTATTATTTAGATATGAAAGTCAATGTAGGCCTACTAAATGATGATGATTAATCTTTTTAACTTTATGTGCGTGCGTTCACGTACATATGATCCTCCTCGAAAATTATAAACACCCAGTGACCATCTCCCCCTCCCCCCCCCTGTGTGAGGCATGGGGAATATTCAACGACTTTCGTAAGTTCTCGAATTCAATGTACTAAATTCATATGCTTTTGAAATTCTCAAAATTGAACCACCATGTTGTATTCATGCCAGGACTTTATAATTAGAATGATTTTGTACTAATGTTGCCATCCACAGTTCCCCATTTCTTCAAAAATAAAAAATAAAAATAAAATGGAAAAAAAAAAATAATAAAAAAAAAAGGTTTTTATCTGGTTTAGATTAGTTGTCTCTATGGTAAAATGCATTTATTAAGCTTTTCACACGAAAATATCAACTTTATGAACAACGAAAAAAAAAAAAAAAAAATGACATACCTTTACAGAATAGCGTCCCTATTGAACATGAAAATTCCTATTGACTTGGTAATCATTGCATTGCAAAGTACACTAAATAAGCGTTTTTTTGATATATAATATCATTAGATTCAGAGAAAAATAACAGAGATAACGAACTTTGGCAAGGTGCCAAATACAAAACGCCGTAGCTCGTTTTTTTTATGAATCTTCGGTACTCCCAACTCACGTAATTTTCATGCGATCCAAATGCAGTTTGTTGCTTTCACTAGAGCCTCGGCGTCCCATAGCCATGTAAAAGGCCGATTTTTGAATTTTTGCCTTAATCAAAAAATAATAATATTTTAATGCTGAAAAAATTCAAAAATAGTTCTCTATGTCAAGCTGTCCCCGCCAAAAAAAAAAGGAAATTCAAAATTCGGCCTTTTACATGGCTATAGGCTAGAGTTGATCTAACACTAGTATTTTTGGGGGAATATTCTGTAAAGAGTGATAGTTGGGATGTACCGAAGAAACAACAAACAAAAAAAAAAAAATCTTTTTGGGGGTGCCCCCCCATGGGAAGCAAAGTTAAAATTTATATATATAACGGAGCACAATTCTATATTCTATATCATGCAAAAAGAATCAATCAGTTATCTCTAACCAATATTTTTTAATGATGTAAAGAGTAGGGAAAGGTGGCCATTTTCCAGGACAGTCCTCTTAAAGGACTAGAAACAACATACATATTAAAAAACAACTCAGGGTAGCTAGCATAAAAATAGGTATGTAGTAGTAAAAATGTTTCTTCTAATCTTGTACTAACAATATACAAATTATGCATAATATTTTGTGTGATGAAATACCAATTTATATGCATAGATATAAATAATTAACACATTAACCTAATGCTTACAGGAATATCTTTTTACTGAATGATTTCCTTGTTAATTGACATCTGTGAGACAAATTTCACAAATGTTCTTTTATTCTGTATTACATCTTTAAAATTATGAAATACCATTAGCATAATTTTCATTCTGCTTAAACTTCAGTAATGGATACATCTACTCTGTATCTAACTTTCATTTATATCCTACAACTTCCCTTTCCCTGAACTACACCGGTAACAGAGGAATGTAAGGAAGTCCTCTACCGTGGGTCTCCCTGGGACTTCTACAATGTCCAGGGCAGGAGGCGGTGGAGGATGGGTCTGAGCTGTGGCACGGGTTCTAGTATCCGTGGAAATGCTTCTTTCTCGCAGCTCTCTCGTCTCCTTGACAGGCGTGGGAGCCGGGCTGTTTGGTTGGGATCCTTGAGCAAACTTGCGCTGGGCATGTACACGAGCCCTAGCAATGAGAAAAGGACATGATAATATCTATATCTATATCTATACCTATATATATATGTATATATATATATATATATATATATATATATATATATATATATTATATATATGTATATATATATATATTATATATATATATATATATATTATATATATATTGTGTATATATATATATATATATATATATATTATATATATATTAATGTATATATGTATATATATATATATAATATATTATAATATAATATTAAATTGTATGTATATATATTATATATATATATATAATAATATATATATATATATATATATTATATATAATATCTATATCTAATATTAACTTAATATATATATATATATATATATATATTTATATATTATATATATTATATATATATTATATATTATATATATATTTATATATATATATATATTATATATATATATATATATATATATATTATAT